ATGCTTAGCCCTGTTGCTCTTTATTACCTAAGAAGTAGTTACCACTTAGTGGTAACTAAATCACGTTGTAATTTACCACTTAAGTTTGACAAGCACACTGATTATTAAATCCTGGCAAGGTGGTAGTGGTGTTGATCACTGGAAAGCAAGATTAGAATTCAATATAATCTTGAAAAAAAGAGGCTCTCCTGAAAAATCAAATTTGTAATGTCCAGTCTTATGTTCTCCCTACACTTTCACATGGCAAAGAATATGTGCTACTTTAATTGATGTGGCAGTTATCACTATTTCTGTTTGATCTATAGATTCTACACAGAACTGCTGCTAAAGAGCATATGAAAACTTCAAAACCAGCAATAATGGTGACAATTACTATACTGTGACTATTACTCCTATACCAGTGATGGCGAACCTTTTAGAGACCGAGTGCCCAAACTGCAACCCAAAACCCACTTATGCATCATCGGGTGCCGGGTGGGTGTGGCCCATTGGGTGGGCATGGCTGCGGTGGTAACAGCAGACTGGGTGGGACTAAAAAGTTCAATCAATCAATTCCAACTTTGCAAGATCTTTTTTTTTCCCGCGAGAAGTTGAAATTGATTGATTGAACCTTTTTTTTTGTACACGGCGGCGGAGGCCTAAAGCGAAAAGGTTTTATAAAACCCAGCTGAAGGCCTAGGACTGGGGCGACAGCGCGTGTGCCCACAGAGAGGGCTCTGAGTGCCGCCTCTGGCACCCGTGCCATAGATTCGCCACCACTGTCCTATACGAAAGCCTTCTGCTATTAGCTGTTTTCCAAGTTCAGACGGCTAGCTTTAAGTTTAAAACTCTATAAACAGCTGAAGAAACAACCAGTTTCATTTCAAGCCTGTCAAATTATTACGTTTTACATAAGGTCCTCTTGAAGTTAATTGACATTTGCTGACATTTGCTTGTCAGTCCAGCAGGGACTGGCATTCTCACTATATTGTAGAACATACTGCCTTTGGAGTTGAGATTAATCTATATTCTCTTGGCTCTTAGAATATAAATTAAGAGTTTTTAAAATTTTTTGCAACTGATTTCCTGGCATTTAATACTGTTTTTACAGGATGTCACTATTTTTTTCTGTCCTGCCTGACCTTGTCCTATAACATGGCTTCTGGCAGATAAATACACAGGTGTCACATTCATAGTTATAGGGAGGGAAAGAGAACTCTCCAGGATTGGTTTCTGCTGAAATTTATAGTTTAGGTTGATAGCAAGGGGAATTTGAACATTTAATGGGATTGTTTTTGGTATGTGTATATGCAATTTTTAAAAAAATCTACTCTCCTTCTAGGATCATCTTTTTTCAAGTAAATGTGTTGATTTTGTGCCAGTTGTATTTCTTCAGTCACCAGGTACAAGTATTGGAGAAGCCCAGAGAGGGTACAGGGTGTCCCAAAAGATAATATACTATATTTCCATAATCGCAAATTCAATGTTCATTTTAAGGAAGAGAAAAATGTATTTGCATAATATATTGCTTTAATTAATCAACAGAAACTAGTAGGCATAATTGTAACTTTTAAGAGCTATGATAGAATTGTACATCAATAGGTTTAAACTGCTTCATATTAGTGTTTAATGCAAGCTAAAAGAATTTAGATAAAAAGAAAACCAAACTGAGGCTCCAACTGTATACTGGTATAAGTCATATTTCAGACTCCTATCCATTCACAATTCTGTAAAAAAATGGAAAATATATCAAGTTGCATTTGGGTTAGAGTGACTTACAGTTCTGATGAAGTTATCTTGGTATCAACAAGTGGCAACACCTGGCCAGCTTTGGTGTCAAACTGCCGGCCCGCGGGCCAGATGCGTCACATGGAAGCCGCGCCCACCCATTGCCGGTAATGGCAAAACCGGCCCAATACGTTACGCGACGTCACTTGACGTCGCGAGTTTGACATGCCTGGAGAAGATCTGCAAGGATGGTCCTGGTAGATATTTGGATGTGAGGCCATAAAAAAATCCCGAGTGTTTAAGGTAGACTGATGTATGATATACAGAGAATACAAATATTTATATTATCTTTATTTCATTTTCCCTTTGAACCCTGCTATGCCGCTATTACTAGCTGACCAGAAAATGGGAGCAAAGGGAAGAACAAGACAAAGAGAGCTGAAGAATTCAGACTAAACCTTCAACTGGCTCCATTTACAGCAGATGAACAAAAACAAAGCACAAGAAATACCTATTAATCATTTTTTCTTCCCTTGGGAAAGGAACTGATTTTTCTAAACCAGAAGAAAAGATAAGTCAGAACAAAATTTGAAAAAACAGCAGATAGCATGACCTTATATATAGTATAAACTAGTGCTTTTCAACCTCAGCAACTGGCTTAGGTTTCTTATTTCCAGGAAATCTTACTTTT